GTCAAAAAAAGAAAAAGAAAAAAGAAAGAGTGGGGGGAAGCCAAGGAAACTGAGACCCAGAGGGTCTTGCCCAGGGTCACACAACTGGGAAGTGGATGAGCTAGGATGCAAGCCTATGCCAAAATGGCTTCAGACCCCATATTTACCCCCACTGCTCATCTTCCCAGGTGGGTCCTTTGGTCAGTGAGGTCACTGCTCCCCCGCTTGCAGGACTGCACATGTCTAACGTCTATTGTGGCCTTGTGGCCATTACAAAGGAATGGTCATGCCAGTGCTGGGAGCGCCAGAGAAAAGGTAGTTTGGGGAGCAAGAGAATTATGACATCAAAAAGCAAATAATGTTAAAAAGGCAAAAAAAAAAAAAAAAAGGCCCTGTAATTAAATTGCAGCTCAAAAGGAAGGGCAGGCAGGGATCCTGCAGGCAGATGCAGAACAGGAGGGGACACAGAGACCAAATTAGGACATGGCATGCATGGCTAGGTGGGGCACTCAGGGACCGGGCAGGGAGGGACATGCCCGTCTCAGGTAATCTGGGCTGTGTGGATGCCCTCCATGCCCTTCTCAGGCAGCTCAATTGCATGGATACAAACTGACCCTTTGGGGATCTTGTTCTAGGTTAGGACTCCCTTTCTCAACCACAACTGCCTGGGAGGGAAAAGCAGGGAGTCCTCAGTGACTGGGGCTAGGAAAGATGGTTGGGGGAAGGCAGTTGATGACTTCAGGCTCTGGATATTGAATGTGGGCAGGGAACAGAGAGAGGCTTGGGTCGGGGAGTGGAGGTTTAAGTAGGAGGTGTGAGGGGTATAGTCCCCTCTCAGTCATCTTTGAAAAGTCAGATTCCCTCTTCCCCCCATGCCATCTGATTAGCAACCAGAAGGATTCTGTTATAATCTGAGTCTGAGTTCGTTGTCCCTCCTCTGCTCTAAAGTCTCCAGTGGTTCCCACCTCATTCAGAGTTTCAGCCAGAGTGCACAGAGTGCCAAGGCCCTGACAAATGCATAAGGATGACTAATGCTATGTACCATGGGGGGTGTAGGGGGCATCCAAGCCTGACCAGGGCTTTGGGGGTGGTCAGGGAGAGCTTCCCCACTCCCTGCCTAGAATCTCTCCTTGCACTCACTGTCTCTTTGCCAGATTAATTCCTCTCAGATCCTCAAGCATTGTTAGGGTGGGACTCAGACACTGGTGTCTGACCACCATATTCTCCTGCCTCCTCTGGGGTCAGAGGCCCTATCAGCCACCTTGGTTCCCAAACTGCTATTTCAATCAGGCCCAGGTGAATGTGTCTGTTCCAACTCAACCCAAAGGGTTTGCTATTATGAAAACCACGCCACCTTCATGATACAAAAAGAAGAAAGCAGGAAAAAATCTCCTAGCAGTGGCCCTGCCATGTTCTTGGCTGGGCCACTGCACACACTCTTTAGAAAAGTTTCACCTCTGGTTTAGAATAACAAAACTTTTAATTTAGATGTTTTCATCTCTCTCTCCAAGTAAAAATAAGTTTAAAATAATGACTGTAATAAATGAAGGTAATTAATTGTAGTTTGTTCCTTTACTGTCTAGTCAGCTTAATTTTACCTTTTCAACTAATAATGAGAAAATAATTTTTGTGCTCGGAGGGTTAATGATATGTAACTGCGAGAACTGCTAATTGCATGTTGCAATCCATCCATCAACAACCCCATCTGTGCGACTTGATTATGTTTGCTAAATTATTGCTTTGAATTATCTTTCATAAAGCAACTTTTGTAATTAGCGGGGCTTTCGTCTTGCTCTTTTCTCTGCGAGCAAGGATATTCAAACTTTGGCCATTTCAAGCTGTCTCCATTAAGCCACCTTCTCTGGCTGTCTTTGTTTCCTGAGCAGGGGGAATCATGGCTGGCCTTTAAGCAATCAAGGCGGAAAGGAAAAGCTTCCTTGATTCACAGCAGGGCAAATTCACTTCCTCTCCGCCTCCCTCCCACCAGCACACACACACACAGACTAGAAGAAAAAAACAAGAAAGAAAAAAGACTGCACTCACATATATAGAATGAAAAGATAAAGAGGATACCCAGATTCTGTATACACCACGGCCAGTAGAGTGAAATTAAGGGATGAACTTGAACATGTTATATTTCAACAAGAGGCTGGCACTGGGGAAGAAGGAATGACGGTATGATATTTAGCCCTGGCGTTTTATGGGCTAGTTTATGTGACTAGGGAAGGTGTTTGCCTTGGGGAATATTCCTGGGAGGTGATTAATGCCCACTTGGGAATCCTCTGCTCTAAGCCCAGAGCCTGGTGGAACGTGAGAGGGAAGAGGCATAAAGGATGAACCCTCATTAAAAAAATTAAAATGAAAATCAAATTTGGATTATGAACGGCCTGTGTGTGTATACAGTTTGTTCTGGATGAAGAAGATGCTTTTTATTAACACCTTTCTTTGGCGGTCTCTCCTGAGGCCTGGGGAGGGACATGGCTGCTGCAATGGATTAGTCAATAAATCATGAGGAAAGCAGGGGTTTCGGGAATAAAACTCCAGGGAAACGTAGTCTTTTGGGTACATTAAAGGGACAATGAAAAGCCATCTTAAGAAAATTAATGAATTTATTTGAAGATCCCTAGCTATTACAACAGTGTCTATTCAGTTCTGCCTCTCCTTTTGGCCCCACTAAGACTTTGTCTCCCCCAACAATTATTGAGTACCCACTGTGTGCCAGACACCTGTCAACCACTTTTACTTAGTTCTTTAAATCCTTACTGTTAGCCACATTTGCCAAAGAAGGAAAGCTGTAGCCCAGAGAGGTTAAGAAACTCCCCCCAGGCCACACAGTCAGTGTAAACAGCAGGGCTGAGATGCAAGCCAGTCCTATTGGCATGTGCTTCCCACCACCCTGCACTTGGATCTTCTCTGGATCACAAACCAAACCTGTTTAACTCTTTCTTCTATTGAAAAGATGACACAAGTCATGCCTATTTCCTACTGAGACAGAAAGGTTCCCTCCTTTGGATAAAAAGCCTTGAGCACCTAAGAAAGAGGCAGATTCCAGCCCTGGTATAATGAAGGTTAAATACTAGTAAACCTATAATGGAGGTCACTGATAATAGGAATAATAAAAAACCAAGACTTCTACTACTCAAGGAAATGTTCGAAGCACTCCATGGGTATTAACTTTGTTCTTCCTCAATCACAACCCTATCAAATAGGTATAATTATTACCTAATTTTTCAGACTTCAAAACAGAGGCACAGAGAGATCAAGTAAGTTGAACAAATCAAACAGCTAGTAACTGGCAGAGGCAGGATTCAAACCCAGGTTAACTCTGGATCTGTGCTCTTCACTCCCTAGCAGCTCTCTATGTGGTAGCCATTATATCAAAACCTTCCCCTGCATTATATCTCAGTCATTCTCAAAACAACATGAAAAAAATCTATCATATCTTTATCCCCCAAACAGACAGGGAAACTGAGGCTCTAAGTGGCTCAGAGAAGCTCCAACCCAAGCAACGGAACAGCCGAAAAAGTGGTGCTCTATACACAAAGCTCAATGCCTGTCTTTGGGCTGAGCAGAGGGATCAGCTGCCTGAGAGGCTTGTGTGCTGAGAGCCCCTCATGGAACCAGGAGTTGGCAGATGGGGACCTCTTTCTTAAAAAACACAAAGCCACGCAACACATTCCCAACATTATTAGTCTTCTTTCTATTTTTGTTGCTGTTGTTTTTTTCCCCTTCCAGCTCAGGCACCTCACAACCAAATGAATCAATACTGAATAGCCCTATAAATAAATAAGCACATCAGTCAACTCAGTAATAAAATGAAGGGATGAAAAATATGGAAATCAGAGACATTTGTGTAAATCCAGTTATTGTTTACTTTAATATTGCCTTATGAGCTTATGCAGGTCCAAAGAGACAGATTTAAAGTAATGTGGCACTTGGCGGACAACAGACTTAACACACATCTCTGGCCCTAGCCGGCTGGATAAAGCATCGGTCTGGGGACTGAAAGGTCCCAGGTTCGATTCCAGTCAAGGGCATATGCCTGGGCTGCAGGCTCGATCCCCAGTGTGGGGCATGCAGGAGGCAGCCAATCAATGATTCTCTCTCATCATTGATGTTTCTATCTCTTTCTCCCTCTATCTTCCTCTCTGAAATCAATAAAAAATATATTAAACACACACACACACACACACACACACACACACACACACACACACGCACGCACACGCATCTCTGTGGGCGAGCTTGGAGAAGGGCCAATCCCTCCAGGGTCCTGCTTGAATTCAGGGAAGACTGAGAAGAGCCCGAGAAGATGGAACATGTGAGAAATGGCCTCCCCGTCCGCTCCCCTGCCTCGGTGTAATTCCATTATTTTCCTAGCCGACTTCCTGGGCCAGCCAGACAAGTGGACATTTTCAGAATCCTGGTCACAAAGTCAAGCTAAGAGGAGAAATGGGGGAGGTCCAGCCCCATCCCAGGGCTCCAGGAAGGCAAGAGGAACTGGCTGAGGATGCTTAGCTGGTGCCAAAGGAACTAGGGCCTGATGGGTGGGCAGGAAAGAATGTGAACAATGCTGACTTAATTCTCAGAGGGTGGGATGGTAGAGAGGATTTCAGGACAGGCTGGTAAGTATTTGGACTTATCTGCAAGACTGCCTTAGAGAATCAAAGCAGAGCAGAGTGCCAGGGGAAAGCAAAGGTGACTGCGTACAAACCTCCAAAAATGAGAAACCAGCCTAGAAGGTGAGGTGGTTTGTTCAAGGTCACGGATATTACATGTAGCAGAGCCCGTGTAAGGCTAGGCAACGTCTAGGAAGAGGGGGATTTCTTGGCATTGACACTGGAATCACATCAAACTCAACAGAGAACCCACTCTTATCACAACACCATTGACTGATCTGGAGGGCATGGGGTAGAGAAGTTCTTCCAAAACTTCCAGAGGCTGCTGGCCTCCTCTGGCAACTCTAGGTGGGACAGGGGAGGGAACTGGGTTTGGGATATGCCATGGGCCTTGGGTCTTACCTCAGCTTGGAAGCTTTTTAATACAGGAGCCACCATCTCTCTGATTTCCTGAAAAAGAGATCAGTGAAGAGTTCACCACAGTGCCAGGTGGGACCCCATGGCCCCTGAATGCAGCTCACTGTTGTCCCATACCTCAGCACCTGCACTCAATGGAATTTTGTAAGGGTTCCTCATATATACACCTACACCTACACACACACCTACACACACACACACACACACACACACACACACACACACACACGGACACATCAAGTCCAGATCAAGTTTCTTCCCTGCAGGACTTTTTGGAGCCTTTAATATAATGCACATTGGGAATTTCTAGAAGAGGGACAGAGGAAGTAGCATTTCCCAAATGGATTTGACCATGGAATACTCTTTAATGCAAAGTACCTGTGCAACTGGGGGTCCATCATGAAATATTCTTTGGAGTGGGGACTGGACAGGTAACCCCAATTCTCCACACCCAGGGTCATGTCACCAAAGTCCCTTCATGAAAATCTTCCATCCTTCAGGGGCTGTCTGCTTCAGGTCACCATCTCTGCTTCCCCACCCAGCATTTTAGCAACATCTGTATTTGTCTCTCCTTCCTCACCGGAATGTGCAGTTTCTGGCGGTTTGGTTGGGTCACCGTTCACAGTGTCCAGCTCACAGAAAGAGCTCTATAAAGGTCTGATAACCTCTATGGCACTAGGCTGTCTTCAGAAGGGAGCCTCCTTTCTGGACCCTAATTTCCTGCTTTTCACAAGTGACCTTGAGGTTCCAGCCTCACGGGCTTCCCTGGTGGACTCCCATGAGTTCTCCCCAGCATGCAAGAGAGAGGCTTTTAAAACCAAGTGTCCCAAGATCCCAACCCTAAATGCTCCAGTTTCCTCTGAGACCCACTAGTGACTCACCTGACCACTGTCAGCCATGGCCCATAAGAAACCCAGATGGAAAGAGGAATTGGGGTTGCTTGAGAGCATGGGGAGGGAAGAGGCAGCAGAGAGAAGGAAAGAAAGATGGGCAGAAGAATTCCTATATTTAGGTAAAGGATAAGGTTGTATTGCTTCTGCCCAGGAAAAAATCCCACTTCTGGGTCCTGGGTGGCCCTCCTCACTGACTGACGTGTCCCCTAGGGCTTCTCAGAGCTGCTGGTACAAGCTGTATGTTGGTAATCTGCAGAAGGGACACAGGAAGTGAACTGAACCTATGGATCACAAGAAATCACAGGCACACAGGCTGTGCAATGGAGAAGGAAATGTAGGTCAAAGGCTGTGAACTGAAGCATCCTCAGAGGCTGGGGGAAGTGTACACGTGGACGGCAGGTTGGGTGGTTCCATGGCAAACCTCTGGAGGGAATGCAAGTCTAATGGTGTGGAAGCCGCTCAGCTCTGTGTGGAGACTGTCACATGGGCATGGAGCCTCCGTGTGGCCAGATCTAGTCTCCAAGATGCTGGAAATCCAGGTTTTTGGTTAAAATTTCTTTATATGCTAAACATTGAAACCTTACTGTAAAATGTAGAAGACCTTATAAACCAAATAAAACAGTTGGGCAGGAAAATTCCAGTTCAGGTTCAGGAAATGCCAGTGCCTGAAGGGGACTGCAGGAACCAACTCTCCAGTCCCCTGAATTTACAGAAAGGGAGGCTGAGGCCTCAAGTGGGCTGGCTCCCTCAAGGGCCTGCAGGATTGAGTGGTGGGCTCAGGTCAACAGATTCCCCAAAGAGGCTCTTTTCACAACCCCACACTCAAGTGAGATTAGGGGATTCCAGTCTGAGGCCCCAAGGGAAGGTGGCTGGCAGGACTTTGGGCCAATGTTCTGCCTGCTTAACCCTTGGGGGAAATGAGCAAAGGCACCAGCGGGACTTGAGCTGGGCACCAGTCAGATGATGTTCTTAAATAAAGCCTTGGCATGACTCTCTCCATTAGGAGAGACTAGTTCCAAAAATGAAAATTTTCAAAGGCATGACTATAATAGAAATGGAAACTTATTCCTCATAATTACATAATTGCATAACTATGCAGTCTTAAAATTATGTAAGCCAAACTTGAGGCTTAAAACCTGGCCTGGATTTCCCTCCTCACCTGGGCCTGGGGAAGGGAGATGAGATGGAAGGCTGTGAAGATCTGGGGCCCTTTCGTTTCTGCTTCCCAGAGACTGGAGAGCCAGAGGCAAGGCTTCTGGGACTCCTTCTAAGGCAGAAAAAAATTAGCTTAAAGACCAAGATATTCTTTGTTCTAAGAAGGAAGGGAGAGTGGCTCAGTATTACCATTCCTAGCTCCTGGAGTCAAACCAAGAAAGAAAGAGATGGGCAGAAGAATACCTATGCCAAGGATCTGATTTGGCCTTTGTGAAGCCACGACATGGGAAACAGATCTGAAGTTCCTGGCCCGTCTCCAAGTGCACCTTCCTTCAGCTCTCAAATCTAAGATTCTTTCCCAACTTGCTCCATGGTCAAGTTCTAGCTAGATCCTACTTCCCTTTCTTGCCTTAAAGAACCAAAGATATTCATGACTTGTGTGAGGAAGATCTCACAGCTAAGAGACTGCCGCCTCTGTCCAGGTGGCAACAGGGCCCTTGGAAGTTTCCAACATGGGAATAGGATTTGTGGTGCTCATTTTTGGTCGAGCAGAATTAACATCTCCAGGTCTGATACCTCCAGAATGCTGGATCCTGCTTCATCCTCCTCCAAGATCTAGGCCACCTGAGCAGGCTTGGGGAGACAGCTCAACTAAGCTCCACTGACCAGAGAAGCACAATTGCGTTTGGGGGCGGTCGGAGTCTCTGTTTCCCATAATGGCTCTGAGGTGCCACACAACGACCAACATTATATGGAGTCAGAAGGCTTTATTTTTCCTATTTGTGTTTACTTTATCATTAAAAAAACACACAAAAAAACCAACAACCGAGAAGCAACAGGGGGCCTAATAGAAGAGGGAAAGAAATTCACACATTTGCCCCTGTAAAGAATGGAAGCAAGTCCTTTCAAGTCTCTTCTCCTAGGGGGCCCTGACATTGCTTGGGGCTGGTCATTACCTGGACCACCCTCATGGCAGCTGGGAAAGACAAAGCTGGTAGCTGGAGCTGTAAGGGAGGGGGAGAGGGGGAAAATGAGGCATGTATATGGGCAGTGGGAGGCAGTTTCAGAGATGGAGGGAAGGACAGGCGGGGTGGCTGTAGCTGTCATCTCTTAAACGCCAATGGAAAAGTAAAATAAAATCAAGAACTCTAGACAAATTGCTTTTGCCATCAAGGCCAAGCATCTGACTTAGATATGAATGTGGAGAGAAAATGGATGTTTTATAGAGCCCTCAAAAACAATGACTTCAGTGAAGCGTCCTGCCCTTACTTTAGACAGCAGCGCTGAGCACCACTATATCGAGAAACCCCAAAAGGCTGTAATTTTTCTTTGGGGCTAATTAGCTTCTTTTCTTGTTAGTCACTTATGTCTACAGTTTTCAAAATATAGTTTGAACAAAGAAAAATATGCATTCCTACTGAGTTAATTCTATAACAGCAAATATACTGTACCTCAGGTACATTTTTCTTAAATTCCCGGCGGAGTTCAATTAAATGTTTATGAGAATGTTCACTCTCCTCCTGCCGTGCAGACAGCTCAGAAGCGACGGAATTAAGCTCCTTCTGGAACAATAAAAAAAAGAGAGAGAGAAAAGAAAAAGATTTTTCCCCTCCTTTTCCTTTTTAATTATCATACAAAACAGCATTACGAACAAGTTTTCTTAACTTATAAAGTTGAGAAAAGACAGGATATTGACTCCTGGCACAAATGAATAATTTACAAAACTGGGGATGCAATAAAAAAAAATCCAGGACAGCTTTTCTTTGCTGGTTGGAAGTTGGGCCGGATCAATAATCTCCTATAAAGTTTTTTGTTTCATCTCTCCCTCACCCCTCTGCCCCACATCTTAAATTTCCAAACAAGTGATGGCATAAGCTTGTCAGTAACTGTAGAAAACATCTCCAAACCGTGTCAAAATAGTAAAGTGCGGCATATTGTATGGGCATATTATAGTGTAAGAAAGTGCTGTCGACAGCTTTCATATATCAGAGGTGGGAACTGTTCCAACTATGACTTACTTACACTTAAGGGTTCATAAATACTCCTTTTAAGATATAGATGGCTTTTTAATTTCAGTAGATTTTGGAAAAATGAAGGTGCCAATAAGAAGCAAGCTGACCTTTTGTGTATCCTGCAGTAAGTCATTTAAGGTTCACTTCAAGTGTAAGAAATATTTCATCGAAGGCTCCTGGATTCAGAAGAAATGGATTAGAAGGAGCCTTGCTTATGTGCAATGAAGGCAGCAGGCCAGGTTTTCACAAGACATACCGTTGAGGGGAAAAAGAGTGAAAGATGGAGTGGTGGATGCTCCAGCTAACACACGTAACAGATAATGTCTGCTGGTTGTACATGTATATTTGATCACCCCTCTGTAGCTTTCTTCACTTTAACAGTGGCAGTTTCACAAGGGGTGTACAATTCACCACGAGTTGTCATGAATTTCATTTGCATAATTCAAGAAACACTCTGTTTATGTGGTCTGCTGCATTCTTGTACCATCCCAAGATGGTTTTTTTTTCTCCTGGACCATAACTCGAGGAGCATTTCTGTATCACCCGATTATTTCTGCAGCAATCAAGCCCTATAATTTCCTAAATCCGGTGATGCAATAAATTTCTGCAATCAGATTTATTAAAAACACACACGCAGATGCGAGAGTGTATTTCTAGGGTGAACTCTTATGATGAGGCCCAGCACCGCGTTGAAAGACCCCATTTGTCAAATCTAATACGCATTCATCTTGCACACACAATGAAACACTTTTACCATTAGATAATGAAATAAAAGTACTATTAACCCGCTGCAAATCCTTTTCCCTCTAAGAGACGAAATGCATGGTAATTGTCTTATATCATGTCTGAGAGTCGGTAAATCTGCTCAATAGCAGTTCACCATAGCGCCATAAACCTCATATCCATCAGAGGCTGGAAAGCCCAGCCCAAGCCCAGGATAAGTGACTCTGCCTATGGAGCCTTTGGGAGAAATCGGGGAGGAAATTTCTATTTTTTTTTTTTTTAGAAATGTTTAACCTCTTTGGAGAATCATGAGACTAGAAGGGAAGAGGTCTAAGTATAAAGTTAGGTTTTAAAAAATAGTGACATGGGAATAGGATGTGTGGTGCTCTCCAAGGTGCTGAAATAAATTCAATTCTGTGCCAGAGTAGTGGGTATATCAACTTAAAGGTGCACCCCCACCCCCGGTTAGGGTGCAAATGGAATTTTGAGCCAGATGAGGAATAAGGTGTCATGGGAGAGAGAAACAGAAACAGTTTTTGACAGTCTGTCAAGGTGAAAGAAGAAAAAAAAATGAAAATTTTTGGTTTATCATCATTTAAAAATAATCAGTTACCAATGAAGAAATTATAATCAATCACAACCCTCAAACCAAATGATTGGGAAGATATCTGTATTTGCAGCAATAGGGCTAATAAAAAGTAGACAAACACTAAGCAGGGGTACAGAACCTCACTTGGTAGGAAAGAAGAAACTGGTGTCATGGTCAATTGAGCTCTGGCAGAGTGCTCACAGCTGTTCTTAGTTTTTCTCGCCTATTCTGAAGACAAAGATGTGATTTTCACACTGCTATTGGACTATCAGAATTAGGGCTTGAGTTGACATCACCAAGTTTTGGATTATTATGTATCTGACACTATGTTCTTATATCTGGGACACTGTCCCTCTCTGCACCACAGCAACCAATGTTCCTGGTGGGGGCTGGACTTGAATTCCTCATTTAAAACATCCAATCCAGGATCTTAAAGGAAATCTCAGAGCAGGATAAGTCCAACTGCCTGATGTGACTATACTGGCTCCCTTCACCCTAACCTCCCTGACTGCTGGTGGGTGCTGTGTCCACAATTCAGACAGAGCAGAGGCGAGAACAGGCCGGGAAATATCAGCAGGGCCCCAGCCCTGGCCCCACGCAAGCCCAGATCTTGGTGTCTTTCCTGCTCAGCCCTAGAGGAGCAGACAGTATGACTGATGTCCATATTCTTCTCAACTTTGCCTAAATGTGCTCCGTCCTTCAACCCTAAATTCTTGTTTCTATGGTAAGCTCACTACCAACAACAATAATGATCATAACTACCATTTATTGAGTGCTTACATGTACCAGGCACCATAGTAAGTTCCTGTATACATTTTCTCATGTAACAAACACATTAATGTGTCTGTTAGGTGATACAAGCAGGGACTAATAAATAAATCAGTCTATTCTAATAATTCAAGTGTGAATTATCTTCTTGGTGGATTATAAAGGCAAATCTGTAATGGCCTGGTCTTTACAGGGCTTCTACTCCACTTCCCCACTAGCTGGGAGATGTTCAGGGAACTTGTTTTAAATGCTACAAATGTGAAAAGCATCAAGCACAGTACTACGTGTTCAATAAACGTTGGCTGATATTAATCTTATATTTAGATAAACAGAGCTCAGAAAACACTCCACTAGACCAGTGATTCTAACAGTCTTAGATTTCACAGGGCAGTAAAAATCTCACAAAAAAAGAGAAGTAAAATCGTTGAGACCGACAGAACATTGCCAAGTTTTACTGTATTAAGCAAAGGCATTAAAAAGCAACCTCTCTCTTCCACCCGAAAAGATAGTATATCTGAACATCAACAAAGGCAAGTGGGCCAGTGACAGAATTGACAAGTCTTTAAAAATAAACACATTTAAAATAATAAAGCTCACAGCACTGTATTTTGAAGAAACAGAAAAAACTCTCATCCACATAAACCAGAACTGGTCTGAAGTGGAGTTTTAGAAATGAGTGTCTGAACCATGGCGCACATACACAACTAGCCTCCCCTTTGATGATCAAGCAGAATTCAGGATCTTCTCCCACCCCAGCCCCCATTCCCCACCCCCCACCCTCAGGGAGCCATGATTAACACAGCCCTAGACTTTTGGGCCAGGCCCAGGCAGGGTGGAGACTCATCTGATTAACAGGCCATCAGCAGCAGACAGACAGCCCGGAGCCCGGCGCAGACCATTCAAATAATGATCATCATAAACAGCCCATTTGCAACTAAAAAGAAATAATTTTAATGAGCTTGAAGCAGATGATAGATGCAGCTGAGGCTCCAGCCAATGTGCAGAGAGAAAGGAAGCTGGGATTGCGCTGCACCCAGGACCAGGAGCAGCTAAACAGCTGTGCTGCTAGCCCACTGTAAGTGCCCACTGCCCAGACAATACCCCTCACTCTCTAGGGTCTGCCATCATCAGGGTGCTAGGCCACCTTGGGACTTAGAGTTTCAGAACGTCTGAGCAAGAAGAAACCTCTGAGTTGTCCGGTCCATCACTGTCCAAACTTCAACCACACATACCTCTCCTGCTGCACGAATTTTGTCATATTGATATTCAACATGAATTTCTATTTACTTAATATTTACATGTTCAATCGACTCCTATTTCTTTTTGAATGAGACATGCATAACTTTAAGTTCAATTTTAAGATAGAATTTTTACACCCTTGTAACCACTGCCCAGATTAAGGTATAGAATGTTCACATTCCTAGTACCTCAGAAGGCTCCCTCATGCCCCCTTCTAGTGAGTACTGCTTAAAGGTAATTCTTATTCTATTGTCAGAATGAGAAAGAATGGAAGGGCACTGAGGATGGATAACCAACTGCTCCTCCTGACATGAGTCAATCCTTTCTAAAGGCAGGTCTAGTTACTGATAATGATCATCTCATGTCCCATCAGCGGGTGCATGCTCCACACTTTAGCAAACACTAGCACAATCCAATTCTCCCACTTTAAAGATGAGCAAACAGGGACAACTTAGGCTACTGCCCCCGCCACAGAGCTGATTAAGAGGTTGGATTTCCTAAGAGGGGAGGGTGGGTTTTGGGTGGGGAAGGAAAACTGTTAGTTACCTATGGGGAGGCAAGTTAAACAATCTTAGTTCAACCAGGAAGGATTGGGAATCTCACAAGAATACTTACTTTTGAAGAAATTTAACAGCCAATCCCAAAATGTCACCTATGTACAAAGTTTTGAGCTAGACACTGTTCTTATAGGGGAGACACACATAAGACACAGTCTGAGTTGTGTATGTTCATGTCAGTTCCCCCACTCTGCTCAGCTCTGAAGACTCACACTCAGACACATCCCCCTAATATCAACTCTAAGAAAAGGCCTTTCAAAAAAATGCAGAAATTGTTAGGGATCAGGGTTATGGAAGTGAGGAATTCAGGTGTTTTCATGCTTTTAAGAGATTCATGAAGGAACATAAAGTCTTCCTCATTATGTCCCTTCCCTGCTCAAAAACCACTTATGGCTCTTCACTACCCTAGGACAATTTTCACACTTCTGATTTAGGCATCACTGGATCCCTGCTAGCCCCTCCCATTTTCTCCTTCCCAACCAGATTGAATTCCTTGTAGAGAAATCCAAATGCACTGAGGTCTCCCTTCTTCATGGCTCCACAGACTTCAGCCCTCAATCCAGATGATCTCATTCTATATTTGCAGCTGATCTTAGTCATCCTTTTGTCGTGGTTAAATGGCCCCTCTTCCAGGAAGACTTCCTCGAACCTCCCCTCTAAGCCTGGGTATCTCA